CTGAGATGCTGGGCCGAGGGTCCGAGTCGGAGATCGAGCAAGACGATCGCTCTTGCGACGCCGTCAAGGCCAGGGTCGCTTTCAAGAGCGGCATGCGCCCGCTGGCGGTCAACTGCTGCCACGGCGCTGAGCCGTCCACGTTCGTGTTCGAGGGCGGCTGGGCCCCCCGCTGCACGCCGAGGGGCGCAACGCCGCCGCGTGCCTCTGCGCTCGCCGCGACCAAGCATGCCAGGGGGAGGACCACCGCCGACGCCCGCGCAACCTCGGGTTCGACGCTAACGACCAGGTATAACGGGAGGGGGGCCATCCGGACGCAGACTCGAGCCCATTGTTCGCCTAGCCGCCCCGAGCGCCCACGCGATCGAGGCGCCCGGGCGGGGTCCACCAGCCCCCGGGCATGAGGAGGGCGCCGCTGCCAGACAAACCTTTCTGCCGATGCTGGGGCGCCGCGCTGGATGCTGCCCCCGCGTCGCGGCAGCGGACAAAGAGCGAGCACGCTGGCTTCGATTTGTTTCTCGACCTGAGGCCGTTCCAGGACCCAAGCGCGGGCGAGTTCCGGCGCCGCGACGGCAGGCGCCCCTCCATCATCGGGCGGGAAGCAACCAGAGTGCACCCGCTCCCTGGGAGAAGTCAATCATGTCCTGTCGGCGGCGCGAGAAGGCGCCAAGCTGGGCAAGCACTCCAGGGTGATGAGTTTTGTACCGCAGAGGGGCGCCGCCGCTCTGTCGGCGGCACCCCGATCTTCGCGCACGTCGCGCGCCAGAGCGACGCGCCATGCGAGGTCCGGCTCCTCGACCTGGAGGGTTGCGGCTGCAAGGCGCGCAACCGCTGCGAGGGGGCGCGGCGCGACGCTCTGATCGACGCGCGGACCGCCTTCGACGACCTGCGGGACAGTGGTGCGGAGGATCAACCGTGCGTCTTTTCAGAGAGCGGATCGGCGGCCGCCAGCAGCCCCCCCTCTCAGGGGCCAAGAGGGCCAGGAGCGCGCCCCACTTGGTGCGATCAGCCAAGATGAGCTCCTCCCCGCCCACGGCAACTGAGGGCTCCAAGGAGATGCAGCAAACCCTGCCCGAAGACGCCCGGCAGGGCAAGTCCGCGCCGACTTGTCAAGCCGCCCCCAGCCAAAGCTCACCGAGCGCGTTCCACTGCTCGCAAAGTGCCTGCTCGCAAACGTCCAAAAGTCACACGTCCGCCTCGATGTAATGTATCGTAAATCCTTCGCGGTTGATCCAGACCATTTGCGAGTACACCCTAGGCGATGCTTAAGAAAACTTAAGTTTTTGGCCAGAGTCTCGAGTATTCTTAATGTTTCAATGTAAATCCTAAGATTTCAATGGGAATTCTAGGTTTTTGTTCAAATTCTGAGACTCTGAGTTTCTTAACCCATGATTTCTTAAGCATTTCGCAGAGTGTAGTGACTTTGCGAGTGGCGGAACGCGCTTGCCCAAGCGGCCAGCAGGCCAGGCTCGGCCCCACCTCCTCGAGCTCCAGATTGGATGGGGTTGGGCGCGTCCGGCCCTCAAAGGGTTTGCTAAGGAACCGTTTTCGTTGCTCCACTCGGAAGCAAAACTCCTCGTGCTCCACCTCCTCCATCGGGGGGCGTTATCTCATTGCTCTTCCTCCTTCATTATTAGTAAGGACGAGAATGCATATATAAACATATGCGTCACATGTTTATATGTGTATTCGCTTCTTTACCTCAGATGCAGGAAAAATCAAAACAGTCCCCCCCCCCAAAAAAAAACATTACAATGTTCTAGGGTGGAATACAGACAGCGAGGCGAACCCGTGCGAAACGTTACTTGTATTGATGTTGTTGCTTGTATTGTTGTTGCTGCTTCTTCCTGAGGTTTTTCATGGTTCTGCTCCGAGGGGGATCCCGATTTGGAGGAGGAGAAAAAGGAGGACGACGACGACGACAACGACGACGGCGGCAGCGGCGACGACGACGACGACGACGACAGCGACGACGACGACGACGACGACGACGACGACGACGACAGCGACGAGGACACATCGCGCTGGGGTAGGCGCGGTGCTTTTCGACCGTGATTATGACTTGGACTGTTGTCCGCTTCGTCGCGAGCGGGACTACGTCGCCATTGTCGTAGGCTCCTGGGAGGTCCATCGGAGTCGCAGGGCACGCGGACCCCGACGGGACCTCGCTGCTCCTCGGGTGGTTGCGACTTGCGCAGTTACCACGACTTGCGTGGGTCCTTGGGAGGTCCAGCGGGGTCTGGGGGCACGCGGACGGGACCCCGTTGTTCCTTGAGTGGTTGCGAATTGCGCAGTTGTCACCGGGTTCGTAGGTTCTTGTGAGGTCCAGCGGGGCCGAGTGCCACACGACCCCCGACGGGACCTCGTTGATCCTTGGGTGGGTGCGATCCGCGCAATTGTCACAATTCTTTTGGGCTCCTGGGAGTTCCAGCGGAGTCGATGGCCACACGGATCCAGACGGCACCCCTCTGTTCTGTGGGTGGTTGGCCTCAGTCAGGGCGCGGCGCCCTTGCATCACAGAGCGCATGGCGTTGGAGCGTTACATAGTGCATGGCGATGTCCTCAATGGCCCACTTCCCCCAATCCCCTGGCACCCGTCCCCTGGAGCGGCAGCGCGGGCGAACCAAGCAGATGTAGCGCACAACGTCGTTACCGTCACCAGCGTTTCCCCTCTTTCCTCGCAATCCCCCATCCCCTCCTCACCATGTTCCTCCTCCCGCTTTTCCTCCTTCTCCACTTGTGTCCCCCGTTATATGTTGCGCAGGCGTGCGACGTGCGTGGCCCGATATGCGATCGCCTTCCCGAGCGCTGCAGGTGACGCAATGAGTTCCGTTGTGAGAGGCGCTCACGCGAAAAGTCGCCTCACGTGCAAAAGCGGGTTGGGCACGCCTGGGGTAAGTTCCCAATTTTCGTGTGTTGGGCCCTCGTTTTGAATAGAGGCCTCCAAGGTCCTCCTCCCTCTTCTTTCTTCCTGTCTCCTCCTCCCTTCTCCTCCTGTCTCCTTGCCTCCCTTGGTCGTGCCTGTCCTATTGGGGGGCTGCGAACTGCGCAACTGTCGCCACGTTCGTGGGCCCATGGAAGGTCCAGCGGGGTCGGAGGCCACGCGAGTACATGTGGGACCTCGTTGCCCCCAGGGTGGCGGCGAACTGTGCAATTGTCACCACGTTCGTGGGCTCTTGGGAGGTCCAGCGGAGGCACGCGGGTACAGTTGGGACCTCGTTGCCCCTCGGGTGGCTGCGATGCGCGTGTGCGCAATTGTCACCTCTTGCGCGGGCTGCTGGGAGGTAGCGGGGTGGTAGGGGCCACGCGGACCTATTTGGGACCTCGGTGCTCCCTGGGTGGCTGTGACTTTTCTATTATCACCACTGTCGTGAGTTCCTGGGATGTCCAGCGGAGTCGTGGGATACGCGGACCCACACGGGACTTCGTTGCTCGTTGGGTGGCTGCGAGTTGCGCAATTGTGATTATGTTCGTGGGCTCTTGGGAATTCCAGCAGAGTCGGGGGCCACGCGGACCTAGACGGAACCTCGTTGCTCTTTGGGTGTTTGTGAATTGCGCAATTGTCACAACTGTCGTGGGTTCTTGAGAGACACGGCGGAGGTGAGGGCAGCGCAGATGCATGTGAGACCTCGTTGTTCTTAGGGCGGTTGTGATCTTAAGCATCGGTCGCCACTTTCGCAGGATCCTGGGAAGCACGGCGGAGGTAAGGGCAGCGCAGATCGTGCATATTTGGCGATTTGTTCCGTTGTATGGAACGTTCGTGCAAAGATTTGCCTCGCGTGGATGAGGGGTATGGTTACGTCTCGGGTAGTATTATCTTTTCCGCGTTCGCCACACCATGATGACCGCCTTCTACCTTTCAGGCGTCCACCGCTTCCTGTACCAGCTCACTAATATTCGGGCAAGCCAGACCTTACGCAGAGGCCTACCACGGCTGTGAGAGCGATGCCAGTTCAGGGCATGATTTGCCAAGGCGAGTCGTGATGACGACAAGGCAAACCGATGTCCGGAATTAAGGAACGATTGGAAGGGTGAACTTGCGAAACAGCTAAGAGATGGGACGCGTGTGTTTTGTGGTTATTGTTGGACACTGCTGAATTATAAGGCAGCTCTTTTTTAAACCGGCATTCTCGTTGGAACGACAGGCCAAAACGGTGTTCTCGGTTCGACCGGGCGCGCTTCGCTGTGAAACAGACGGCTGGAAGGGGGCATGTGCGGAGGGTCTTGCAGGCGGGAGGGTGTGTTGCAGCATCGTTGATGCATCATGGGTTTACGTTGGTCCGCCTCCTCCCTTTCCCATGCAATACAGTCGGGGCCCTGAAGAAGGAACCCTTTTCGTTGGGGAGGGGCTCCGCGTTCCTTACGTGTTTCACAGCTTGCCTCAGGTTTTCCTTATGCTTTCGATCGGAAATCGAAGTTCAACTCATGGAAAAAAGGGGCCTCGTTCCTTGTTTAGGGTTCCTTAGGTCAACGCCCCGACTGTATCATGGGTTTACTTTGGTCCGCCTCCTCCCTTCCCCGTGCAATAGGCACATCAAGCAAGAGGCCGGCCCGCCAGCAGGTGCCGCCCCCGCGAATCTCTTGACGCCCAAGGGCCGCGGGGAGGCACACAAGCCCTGAGGCACGCCATTTGAGAAAGGCTCACAAGGGATGTCGAAGGCAGGGCTCATTTCGATTCTTCAGATTCGATTCGATTCGATTTCGATGGATTCCGATTCCGATTCGATTCGACATCGGATTCCGATCTGGGATCAGATTTCTGAACGGAGGCTTACTAGCCCGCCGATGTCTATCGATTCGACTTTTCCCGACTCGGCTGCCGATTTCCGCCGATCCGATTCATTTCGATCGCCGATTCGACTTCTCGATTCGATGCAGGGCTCCCCTGTCGAGGGTGCCCCCAGACTGATGTCTCGCATGTTTTGTTTCGCGTGCGCCACATGTCTCGTAAGCTTCGTGCGTGCTGCTCTCGCCGCTCCCTTCTCCTGCCTCCTCCGCTCCAGGCGGACAGGGCCCTGCGAGCTGCGGAGGAGCTGGCGCGGGCCCAGGCCCTCCGGGAGGCCAAGGCCCTCGAGCAGCAGCGGGCCAGGCAGGTCAAGAAGGACAGCCCTTGCGGCAGAGGGGGAGGACGAAGGCGATGGCGGCGATGGCGAAAGCCAGCAGCTGAGAGCGACGGGGCGCCATGCAGGTCACCAGAAATAGATGGCCTCGAGGAGAGCGCTCGGATAGGGCAAGCAGTACACGGAGCGGGGGGCGGGACAGGGAGAGGAAGAGCAAGAGAGAGGGAGGGAGCGAGAGGGAGGGAGAGAGATGGGGGGGGGAGAGAGAGAGAGAGAGAGAGAAGAAAAAAAAAAAAAAAAAAAAAAGAGGGAGAGGGAGAGAGAAAGAGAGAGAGAGAGAGAAAGAGAGAGAGAGAGAGAGAGCGTGGGGGACAGACAGCGGGGGCGGGGGCACGGGGCGGCGAAGGAAGAGAGACAGAGACACAGAGAGAGAGAGAGAGAGCGCGAGAGAGGCGTTGGCGGCCAGCGCCCGCGCGCGCGCGCGGGCCGCTGGCGGCGGCGCTGGGTCTCTCGGACTTTCGCGGGCGCTCTGCTTGCCAGGCGTCACGCCGGTCAGGTACACGATGGATGGGCCCTCTTCCTGCTCCTCCTCCTCCTCCTCCGCCTTTTCCTCCTCCTTCTCCTCCTCAAGCGCCGTTTGGGCTCGAACCATGTTGGTGAGCCCGTCCCCTGTGCCTGCACGAGGTGCTTGGGGCACTTCCTCTCGGGCTCTTCAGTCAGCCGCCCCAGAGGACGACGAAAACAGGGGAATCCAAGTTTACTTCCCGTGACGAGCTATGGGCATCTTTGGTTTCGTTGCAGTTGCGGACGCGCGGAGTGGAACACCACGTATCCCGCCAGCAATACGCAGCGCCCGTCTTGCCATCGTCAGGTGAAGTTGCACAAGTCGGCGTATGATCAGGGGTCGCAGGAGAACAGCACAGCAGGTAGCAATGGCGGCAAGGGCCACGACATCTCGCGCCAGCCCGCCCCACAGGACGAACTGTCCCTCCTGCGTCTCGCTACAAGAGCACGGAGGACCAGACGCTGAAGGCTTCCCTGCAGGCGCGCGTGGCGCAGCTGGGCCCTCAGCAGCCGTCTCCGTCGGTCACTACCAACGCGGCCCACGCGGCGGCGGAGGCGGTGCGCCGCGCGGTAAGCACTTGGAAGGATGCCGACCACAACCACACCCAGGCTGTTGCGAACGTGGTCAGGATCCAACAGGCGCTCGCCGTGGCGAAGGAGAAGAATGCTGCCGCGGGATTGCAGCTGGCGCAGACGGCTCGCGCCAAGACCCAGGCGACGGCGGTGCTCGCGGCGGCCGAGGGCCCAGGGCCGAGCGCGCCCGCTGCTGGGTCAGCGCCGTCGGAAGCAGCCCGCTTCGAGCTGCGGTGGGGCACCAGCATCTTCGAGGGGCTCGACACGCTGGAGCGCGAGGAGGCCGAGCGCACGGACTCGAGGAAACTGCAGGAGGATCTCGCGAAGCTATAGAGCCTTCTCAGTTCGAAGGAGACCGAGGTGAATGCGGTCCTCTCGAAGGCGGCGGCGGTGCGCGCCGCAGTGGACACCAGGCTCGGGAAGAAGCGCAAGGTCGAGGGAGCTAACGCAGCGGCGGACGCCCCGCAGGGCGCGGCGGCCCCGGCAGCGACGCCCGAGGCAGCAGGCCAGCCGGCGGCAGCGCCCCAGGCCAGCGCCCCCGCGGCGGCCCCAGCAGCCATGTTGGCGGGGGCCCCACGGCCCAGACGCCCGTCGGGGGCCCCGACGACGACCCGTCGTTGCGCGAGGCGGCCGCGAAGTTGACGGAGGCGAAGCGGTTGGCGCAGGCGCAGCTGCTGGAGGAGCAGAAGCATAACACCACCAAGACGCTCGGCAAGGGCAAGGGCGCAGCGCCCCCCCGCCGAGGGCAAGGGCAAGCCCGCGGCGCCTAAGGCCCAGCAGTCGTGACTAGGCCCCGCGGGAGCCGACCGAGGGCCGCAGGGCGCGCCGTTCGACGCGCTGCTGGAGGGGCCCCCGCCCGCGCAGGCGGCAGCTAGCGGCGCGGGGGCCTCGCCCGCGGACGGCGCGCAGGAGGGTGCGCTGCAGGCGCCGCCGGGTTCGGATGCGAAGATGTCCATTTTTTGATTCCAAAGTCATTCGTATGGGGGGCAAGGCTTAGCAGAACCTTTCTTCTAACCGACACGACTTCCTGGGAGTTGTGGAATCTCACGTCAGCGATGGGGATCTCCGCAAATGGGAAGGGAAGGCCCGAGCGGCCAAACGTCGTTCACTTAGTAATTGTGCACGGGCGCGCGACAAGCGAGTGGCCAAGTCGCAGCAGGCGAGGGCCAACGAGGGCGGGGAGTGGGTCCTCGCGAAGGGCCATCTTCAATGTCAGTCTCTCCTTGGAGCTGCTGCCCGCCGACCGCCCGCGATGCCGGGCCACAGCCAGTTGGGCGGCTTCACGGCGGCAGCGCTCCATTTGCAGGGCTATTCGATCGTGGCCATCGTCTTCTACGCCCGCCCGTCCATCGGACTCGGCGGGCCCAACTCGGGGCGATTTCATCGATGGGGGTCGACGCTCAACTTCATCAAGTTGCCGCGGTTCGTTGCGGGGGATTGCAACGTCGCGGCAGATGTCCTCCAACGATATACTTTCCTCTCTCGACTGCCCGGGCGGCCAGGCATCTAGACCGCCTCAGTCGAGGCCACTTGCAACTTGGGAACTAAGGATCAATCGCACATCGACTACGTCTTGTGCTCGGAGACAGCAGCTTCGCACATCGTGGGCGCGTTGCCCGAGGTTTGGGCACCTTGGCGGCCGCGCATCGGGCACGCGGCCCGCCTCCGCCGCAGCGCCGCGCAGCTGGTGGCGCGATGCCTGTCTCTGCCGCGGCAGTTCCCGCAGATGGCTGGGCCTCGCGCGGTGCCGACGGCGGGCTCTAGGCCCGCGCTGGCAAAGGAGCAGTCGGCGGAACGGCGGCAGCGGCGGGCAGAGTCGAGGAAAAAACGGTTTTGGAATGTTCTTTGGGTCTGCATCAGGAGGAGCAGAGGGATAGCGACGATGCCAGAGGCGAGTCTGGGGCCGAGGTCCGTCGAGAGCCTTTGTCCGAGGATCCCCTCGGCGATTTCGACGCCCAGGACCCCGACCCCGGCATCCCTGGCATCGAGGGCTGCGAATCCGAGGAGGACCCGTGGGCTCATGAAACACGCTCCACCTTTTGCAGGTCTGGCCAGGGAGCGCGCCCCGACGTTGCTGGCGCTGTTTCGGAGGAATCTCCAGCCGAGGCGACGAGTCTTTCCCCGCAGCCCCCTGCATCCGATGAGGCGCACCCCGCCCCGACATTTAAAGGCAGCAGTGAACCCGCCCCGACTCCTTCTCCTCCTGCCCCCCCTCCTCCACCCCCTCCTGCCCCCATCCTCCTCCATTGAGAATTCGGTGGCCTGCGGTGTTCTGCTGAGCTCTTGTCTTAATGCCGACAGGAAGTGGGGTTCATCCCAGCTGCGGAATGCCCGCCGTCAGAATCTTTCTTGCGGCCCGCAGCCTTTTCGCTCAATGCTGGCTCCACTCTCTGCGCGAAATCTTCGCTATATGTTTCAAGGGCTTCGGCGGTGGGAGCCGCCGCCCTTAGTCGCTATGGCATGGCTGCTGTCCGCGGACCCCCCCGCGCTAAGGCTGTCTCGCTGCATCAGGACACAGTTCGCCTTCAGGAGAGCCAGCGCGGCACTCCCGAACGGGACTTCATCGCGAGCTGGCGGCATAGACTGGCTACAGTTCCGGCTGGGCCCATGCGCCATTTGGGCCGCGGGCCCAGTCACGAGCAGAGGAGGCATTTACTGGAGGCGCTGAGCAGTCACCTCGACGACCAGCTTGAGCGCGCTCATGCAGCGCTGCGCTCGGCACGGGATCAGCCTTGGCGACGGCGGCAGGCGCCGTTCCAGGAACTTCGAGGGTTTCCAGTTCAGCAGGCGAAGAACGGGCCGGAGCGCAAGATTCAAGACGCCGATAGCTCGCTCTCCGACTTGCAAATTCGCCTCACGGTGTTTGCCCAGGCTTCGCAGCGCGTCGTACAACGTTGTCAGCTGCGGGCGGTCAAACAGTCCATGAAAGAGTTCGGCGACTGGATGGAGACACCAGTTGCTTTGGGGGCGCTTCACAAGAACCTGCGCCAGGATCCCTTCGGCCAGAATTCGAGCGTGAGTCAGGCGCAATTTTGTTTCACCCTTGAGATGCGGTGGATGCGATGGCGAGCAAGCGGGGGCATCTGTGGGCACCTTCGCGAGAGGCAGCCTAGCTGGCGCAGGCTGCTTTCTGGCAGGCTCGCGCACGCGCCGACGTGGAGCAGCTGTCGGAGATCACTCCCCAGGCTATTCGCGGCGCGGCCCATCGCACGAAGTCTGGCACGGGGCTCGGAGCGGATCGGATGAGCCCTGTCGACTTCGAGCGCCCCCCACCAGCAGCGCTCGAGGAGTTTGCGAATATTTGCGCCATCGTGGAGTCGGCGGTGACCTGGCCCCATCAGGTCACGACTGTCTGGGGACGCTTGCTGCCCAAGAAAACAGCAGGCGATCGCAGTATAGGGCTGCTTTCCCTTTTCGCTCGGCTGCGGTCGACGATTCGCGAGGACGAGGTTCGCAGCTGGTCTGATGCCCACGCTCCCTTCTGGGATGCAGCGGCCAAAGGCAACGCAGTTTTAAGAGAGGCCTTTTGTCAGAACGTTGCAGGAGGAGGTGGGCCATGAGCTGCAGATTTCTTCGGGCACAGGGCTGTTGGACATCGACGGCTTTTATGATAACATTCGGTGTGAGTACCTACTTCCTGCAGGGTTGAGTCTTGGGCTTCCTGCGGTCATTCTTTGTCTGGAAGTGGCGCAGTGCATGGCGCTTCGGGTGCTAGGCCAGTCTGAGTCTTGGGCCCTCCCCATAGAAACCATTCAATCGGTTGTCCGGGGCTTGGGTCAGGGACCAGTTTCGGCAGAATTATGGCATGCTACATTCCTCACAGGCTGCGCACGGCGCATCCACAGATGTCTAGCATAATCTGGATAGAGTATGTCGCTGCGCGCGGTTGGGCCCCAGTCGAGCGC